AAGCTGAGTGTAACTCAAAATGAGTACTTTCTCCATTCCCCAGAATGAAGCACAAGGAGATTTATTTGTCATTTTCACAGTGAAAACCTGGTGAAATAAAACTCTGTGGGAGATTCCCAGGAGAATTTAACTCTGAAGTTAGTCCACTCACAGCAATGTGTTTAAATACACCCCAGCCTGCTGATTTACTTTACCTCTACAATTTACCTTTTCTGAACATTTCATACAATCAACATGTCAGGCAAATTTTGTGTCTGGTTTCTTTCACTGAGCATGTTTTAGAAATTGATCCACTTAGCCTGTAGCTGTAGTTCATTCCTTTTTGTTGATGAAGAGTACTATATGAATAAACCACATTTTGTGTGACCACTAAAGGATTTAAATGTTAAGTAGATGTGTTATAGGAAGATAGTAGAATGAAATGAAAAAGGATTTCATGGTGATAACTGAACAACTATCCATAGGAACTTGGGATCTTAAAAATACTTGTCTTTTCCAAACCTGTGTTTGTTCTCCTGGTGGCCCACAAATAGTATAATCCTGCTATAAACAGTGCTATTGGGGAATCAAATGGACCAGAGTGGGCCTCTGCTATTTTTCAGGGCTCCTTAGAGATACCTAACTATATGTCTGGTGCAGAGATCACCATGAGCCTAGACTACCTGCTGCAAAAAAAGCAGGGTGCTTTAAAAAATGTCCCAGGCAGTGCCTCCCTGGTGGCACAGGAGTAAAGACAAAGCCTATGAAGCTTCTGCCAGCCACGACAGTATGAGTTTGATCCCTGGGTGGCCAGGAAGGTGATGCACATGGCGCAGCAGATCTCTCCTGTCCCGCCCGATACTCAATCTGTCTCTGGTGAGTCCTCTTACCTCCTGCACCTCTGGCCTGTACCCCAGTTCTTGTATGCCAAACTAAATCAATCTTTTTTTAAAAAAATTAAAATAGGGCCCTCCCTGATGGCGCAGCGGGTTAAAGCACTGCACTAAGAAGCTTATGCCACTTCCGCATGAGTTTGATCCCCGCCTGTCCCAGAAGAGATCCACATGGCGTGGCAGACCTCTCCTGACCCGCCCGCCGCTTCCCTCAGCAGTGTACTTCATGGATCTGCCTGTTCTGCTCCCCACTCTGTCTCTGGTGAATCCTCTCACCCTCCGCATCTCTGGCCTGTATCCCAGTTCTGTACGAATAAACAAACAAATCTAAAAAAAAAAAAATTTAAAATAAACATCCTAGGCTACTGAGAAGACAAAGCAGCCAGCATAATGGAGATGCTGACAATTTGATCAGTAAGAAAATACTAAATAGAACTAATGGGAGTAAGCTGAATCTGTAAGACCCTACATTTGATACTTGAAAAGGGTAATATTTATGCATGGAATTTTTTTCAGGAGTAGATAGAATATCTATTATATTTAGAAATATAGAATATCTATTATATTTAGAAAAGGTGTAAACGTGTTGATATAAATGTGTGTCACCTCTTCTATTAAATATATCTTTATAAAGCAGAAATGGATATGAGAATGATCACTCTCCTCCATTAGGTCTCTGCTCAAATGTCATTAGAGAGCTTCCTTAACACTCCAGTATTAAATGGATTCCCTAACCCCCATACCCTGGCTCTTATTTTCCTAGAACAATTTACCCTGACAGGTATTTTGTTTCCCACTAAACATAAACCTCATTAAGGCAGAATTTAAATATTGCTCTATTCCACCCCTATTGGTGCCTTGGTATCTAGAAGGCACTCTTCTTTGTTGATAGCCCCTCCCCCAAAGGTAGTGACTGGACACAATAACTAAGGGAAACAGTAGCAGAAGATAATGAATTAGCCAGCTGGCCTACTGAGGAGATATAACATGCCATAACTTTGCAAAGATGCCTCTTTCCCGAGAAACAAAATCCTTACTGTGATGAGATGTTACTCGTGTGCAGACATTTCCAGTATGACATATAACAAAATACTGAGAAACACAATGTAATAGGTAAGTAAAACAACACAGTAATTCAACCTCAGGTGTGCTCTTAACACCAGCTGGGGAGTAATCACACTACAATCTCCTATTCGATTCATTTCCTTACAGAGTGTTAAGTATCCAATCCCTCTTCCAACTTTTCTCTCAACCGATGACCTTGCAAATAGAAACAATCAGAAAAGAATTTACACAAGTCAATTATCACATACCCCCACCTGTCAGCCCTGCTATCCTACTCTGCCTCTTCCTGTCACTTGCTCCTCAGCCAGTGCTCCACTTGGGCACTAGACCTCACCTGTATCTGGCTAGCAGCTAAGTTGCATTTAATGTCTGTTATAAGTGTCTGGGGCTTCAATTTCCTGCATTGCCTTTGTTTTTGTCTCCCCTGTTATCTTTGGATTTCCCTAGAAACTCCTTAAAATAGAATCAGCCTCACAGCGCTTTGAGAGCTATAATCCAGTTATAATCCCGGAGCCCTACAGATGGTATGGTGTTAGAAATAAGCAGTATTTTATAATCTTATGATTAAATATTTTGGGTATTTTAGTGGACTAGAGTCCCTGGGCTGAGATCTTGAGAAGCTTCTTGGCCTTTCCCTACCTCTTACATGAGAAAGGCAGGCTCAAGCCATCCAAATGCCCTCCGAGTCAGAGAAGACAGTCATTTTCCCTGAAGGCAGACTATGCCAAGAACAGAAAGCTGAGTGTAACTCAAAATGAGTACTTTCTCCATTCCCCAGAATGAAGCACAAGGAGATTTATTTGTCATTTTCACAGTGAAAACCTGGTGAAGCTCTTGGAAATAAAACTCTGTGGGAGATTCCCAGGAGAATTTAACTCTGAAGTTAGTCCACTCACAGCAATGTGTTTAAATACTGATTATAGGTTCTAGCAGCTTCTGCTTCAGGTGAGTTGATCTGCTCCCCTCAGCAGTGTACTTCATTGATCTTCCTGTTCTGCTCCCCACTCTTGTCTCTGGTGAATCCTCTCACCACCCCTGCACCTCTGGCCTGTATCCATGAGTTCTGTATACATAAATAAATGTCTTTTAAATAAATAAATACCTGGGTCACAATTTCATGTGTCCCTAACTAGATTCCTAATCTTCATACATAAATCTGTGCTATCCACAGGTTTCTTTACCTCAACTGCTTAGACAAAAAAAAAAAAAAAAACTAGAAATTTAACTCTGAAGCCTCACTTTACATTCCACTGTCAGCAAATCCTATCAGTTTTTCTTTCAAGATAAGTACAGCATTTGACATTGTCTCAAAATTCAAAGTGCTGGCTCATTGGTCCAAGCCACCTATACTTCTCACCAAAGTCACTGCTGTCATCTCTTAACTGTTTTGTTTTTATGCTTGCTCTCTGAAAACTAAGTCACACTTCTGCTCAAAGTCCTCCAAAGTCTCTCATTTCGGAGTAGAAGCCACAGTTGACACGAGGCACTATGTAGTCTGATGCACCCTCCACTCTATTTTTCCCCATCTCACCTGGTTCAGCCCTTGCCGGCTACCTTGCTGTTGCTAGTCATCCAACGTGTTTCTATGCTAAGGGCCCTTGCTGTTCTTCCAGTCTTCGTTCTTTTCTCCAGGGTATCCACAAAGTTCATGCCCCAAACCTTAGTCCAAAGGCTATCTTGATGAAGTTTCATCCACTCAAAAGTTCCAACATCACTCTGCTTCCCAGCTTCCTCTGGCTCTCCCAACTTCTCTCTGTAGCACTTATCTTTTGAGGTGTCATGTAATTTATTTAGTGTTAGTCTCCTTCCACCAGAATTTAAGTCCAATAAGGGTAGGAGAGGTATGTCTATTTTAATACTGCTACATTTTCAGCAGCTAAATAAACAATAAGATCCACTGTGAAATGAATAATAAATGCTTACAAAATAAGAGAATGAAAACTAAACAACAACAGATTTCAAGAAATGGCAAAAGGACTAAGAATAAGACATAACCAAATTTAAAATTTATATGCACTTGTATTCATTAATAGTTTGTTGACTCAATACAGAAGAAAGAAGAGACAAGAAAAAAGGTAACTACATACTTAGCAACTTTGGCAATAGGATCTCATTAGGCTTTTAATGTGTACATTCTTCTTCAAGGTAGCCTCTGGTTCAGAGAATTAGGTAAATCCTTGGAGTGGTAAATCTTCAGGCAACCTGAGTTTAAGGTGGTAATTATAAATATTTGTTAAGATCACCCTCAGAACCTGAGTTTGGTCTGCCAGCTAATTTTTATATTTAGCCAGAGTTCAAGTGGCAGACTATTTAGACGTTCTTGCCAGAAGGCACCAGTGCTACCCTTTCTCCATCCTATTCAGGGGCTTTGGACAAAACTTAGTTCCCTTACTTGAGAGGCTATAGATAAAGTGCTACTACCTACCAGGAGTGACACTTTCCAATATAACAAGCATATGTCAATTACAGCTGAAACATAGCTTCAAGAGGTCTTACTGTTTTTATTATTACTGCTGTTCCGGCATTCTTGGTCACTTAGATGCCATTATGGCTTTCCAGGTGTATAATGGACTAAATAAAACACAATGAGAAAATTAAATTCCCTGAAATAAGCTTACTTTTGCAACAAGTACAACACTTATCTTAACCATTTAGTGTGATGTCATAATGTAGGAACTGCTGCCACCTGCTGGTGATACCCACGTTAATACTTGGGAGATAGAATATTCCAGTTAAAATTTTAAAATTCCCTTTCAAAGTAGACCATGACATGAACGGCTTTATGTTTACCTTATCTGACTAACTATAATTTCCTCTTAACTACAACAACAAAAACAAATATTGGGTATTTTAATGGATTTCTAATGTAAATAAGAACCCTTTATTACCAATAAGTGACCTTGTTGACAGTGATCCAGGTTTCAAAATATGGCTGCTGAATCTTTTCTCCATTATATATCTAATCAACAGAAAGCAAATGTCCATCATTGCTTATTCATGGGATTTGTAATTCTTCTGAGATGGCACAATGATGACCTCATACCAGTACAGAGCCTCGTGGGTCCAGTTGACCCATAAGTCTGATCAACTTATCCAATGTTTAATGATTTTCTCACACAAAAAAGAAAATTACTAAGGTACTCAGCCCTAAAAGTACACATAGCTAGTGAAGTGTCCCAAGAAAATAACTATGTGTAAAAGGACAGAGACATGAATCAAAACAATTTCACTGATTTGCTAAGTCTGCTAGGATTGGGTCATTAGTCTTCAAGATAAATTTTCAGCTCCTGACCAATGCAGAAGCCTCAAGATCTAATGGATGTTTATGTAACATAACAATAAAAATAGATGGGACAACTGTGATAGCCTATGGAGACAAAAGGTCCAAATGTAATATGTAGTTTATCCTGGATGGCATCCATGAAAAGATAAAGGGCATTAGGAAAAAAATCAAGGAAATTTAAATCAACTATGGACTGTAGCTAATAACATGTCACATTAATGTCAAGATGTTAACAGTATGGGAGATGGATATGGAGTAGATAGGACCTTTATATGTTCTTTGCTATTTTTCTGTAAAAATAAAACAAAACAAAACAAAATCTAAGACATTCAGCTTCACCAGTAAATTCTACAAACATTCAAAGGAGATTGAATATCTAGCTTTCTCAGTCTTCCCTAAAACTGAAGAGAAAGGAACATCCAAACTCATTTTACAAGGCCAGCATGACCTAAAGCCCTGATAAGCACATCGCAAAAGAAGCAAATCACAGACCAATATTGTTGATGAATACAGAGGCAAAAAACCCTTAACAAAAGCAGATCCTTACGTTATTTCACTCACAAGTTTAAAAATAAAACCTCTATTTTGACTTTAAAAGTTATTAATGTAGCTTTTCCCCATTTATCAGTTCTAGATTAAAAGGTATTATATAAAATCAAGAGACATGGTGAGCCTCCGATGGGTCCACATCAACATGTGACAAACTCAGCCCACTTGGAAAAGAGGCTTCACAATATGGTATCAAACTCTTTATTCTAGCTTATACTTAATACACCCAGCCTCCCACAAACTCATTTCAAAGGGATTTCATGGGGATACTCCAATGTTTCATTTCACTCAAAGTTATACCATCTTAACTGTAGCTCATAATTCAGGCCTCAAAAATAAGACTTCACAAGGCCTACTGTCTTTGTTTAATATTAAGGGTGAAGATTTTGGAACTATGGAAGGCACACTCAACTAAACTAGATTTTGAGACTATTCACTGGTTGCGGTTTTTAAATTACACAGAAAACTCCTGCCATTTCTCTCCTGAAACTGCATTTAAAGGCTTCTTTCCTACCTCCACTATGTCATCACCATAATGCACAATATCGTCAGATAAAATAATCCTTAGTAAACATCTACTAGCCCGTGTACTAAAGAGCTAAGAAGCCACTACTGAAAAACCGAGAATTAAACTCTTGTTCACATCAGCACTCTTCTCAGATAGAGCAAGTAATGGTTTTAATTTCCATTTCTTATCTTCAATTCATTCTTAAAATTAACTTTAGTTCTTAGATAAAATGTGCTGAACGGAAGTTCATCGAACTATGTGGTTTAAACAGAATATGAGACCTAAACTTAAGGACAGTCACAAACCCAGGAAAAAGAGGTGCTATTCCCTAACTTTTTTCTTTTCACTTTAATAATATGTGTTTATATACCAAATAGTTTTTAAATGTGATTAGTTGCCTTAAAGACACAACCAATAGCAGCAACTCTCCTCCAATTATAAGACAGTTTTTAAATTATTTTTATTTTCAAGATTAAGCATTCTCATTGACAATCCAGAAACAGTCCTTGCTGAGTCTTTGGATATACACACATAAAACAGTTCAAAGTGATTTCCCAGTATTCAATGACAAGGCAGGGAAAAAAAGAACATTCACAGCTGCAGCTGAATTCCTCTGTCCTCCTTTTCCAAAAAAACCCAAAAAACAAAAGCATCTTATTTTGCTATCAGGCCACTCACCAAAGTCACACCGGAAGACAATTTTCAAAAAGCCAACAAAGCCTAGAAACAAGAATCTAGGTATTGAGCCAAAATTATACCCTCAAACACTGCTCTGGCAAAAAAGGGGAGAAGTCAAATTCCCCACAGCTCATTAGAGAAGACTTATACAAAGAATTCACAAAGTTAGTATGAATTACAATGGTGCGGTGTTCAAAGAGCAAATAAAGACAGTTCAGCTTGTTCACTTTGGGAATATATTAGGCTTTCTCCTATTCCAGCAGAAGAAATGAAAATATGATCTGCTGGAATTAATATTAAAATTGTCCTTGCCAAAGGAAGGTAGGCCCAGGGAGACAACACAGAACAAAAGTAGAAAAAGTTGCTTTGAATCTAGGCTCTACTGCCCAGGAAAAGTTGTAGAGTTGAAATCCTTCTGTGTCAGTATCATTAAATTCTAGATTTGGCTCAACAACAGTGGACTATATACCACTAATAAATATCAGGTGACCCACAGTGTCTGTGGTATTAAAAAATTGTTTTTAAGTTATCTACAAATTTCTATTCTGAAAAATAACAGATCAAAATGACACTGGGTCATCCAGTTACAGAGTAACGGGCCTCTTTTGGAGAACTAACTTAGCCAAAATTTAGGTTGGAAGGAATGTGACAGAGGCTCTTAGTACAATTATAAGGCTTCTTCTCACCCCAGCAGTAGTAGTACTGAGAGGACTCCCACAGAATGTCTTAAGAGGGTTGCTATTCAGAATAAAGTTTAGAGAATAAAATAAATATTTCATTTTTAACTATCAGAGATTCTGGCACATTTGTAATTTAATATTTTCTAGTTTACATTTTCTGAACCTTTGGTTTATAAGTTTTTCAATTTTGTTACATTGAAAAATGTGTAAATGTGCCCTATTCAGTAGTACCACATGGAAAATATAAACCTTGTTCTTCCATATCTCTACATAGAAAGAATAAATGAATGGAACCCTAGATATCCCTCAAAGTTACTTTGTGTACTCAACAAAAGGCTAGGCAAACCATTCTGCTTCCACATCTTGAGCAACAGGAGTCAATTAATCTTCAATCTCATCTTCCCAAATATCTCCATTAACATCCACAGCATGGAACAACCTATGGAAGCATAAAATAAGGCACATTTTTATGCACTTAGCAGAAACAGAGTAATTTCTCCCCTTCTCTCAAAATACTTCCTGCACTCTTCTGATAACTTATCTGTTTATCTTTTTCTCCCCCTTTAGTCATTCCACTGACACAGGTACATAGGTCCTTCTGAATACATTGTCTTAAAGTTGGGCAAAACAGCCCTTTTAGATATAAACTCTTCAGGATGAGGGATAAACAATGATGGGAGGCTGATATCACAAAAGTCATACTCAATGTGTACAATGTACAGAATAAGCCAAGCTTGATAATCCAGAAGAAGTTAAATTCTTTTGAGGCCCTCTACCACTATTAGGACTATTTACTCCAGAATCTTCATAGTCCTTGCAGTCTCAATTTGTAGAGTATTTTATATCTACCAACTTGTCCTGCTTCCCTATGTTACCTAAAATTTAAGCAATCTGCAACACTAATTTTCAGCGGTTCATAGGCAGAGCGTGTTTCTTCTCTCACAATTCAACAACACGAATGACCTCAGGTATTCTGCAAATAGATATCTATTAACTTGACAAAGATGATCAACTAACTGACCCTGATACTGGAGTTTTGGGAGCACAAGATATTCACATTATGCTAGGAATCACCCCAGAGATTACTTAATAATAAACAAAGAAAACTTACCTTTACAATGGAGCAAGTGATAGTGAGCACATGCCAATAGCACAACCAATTCAGACCTGATGTTACACAATATGAAGTATTCTTGTCAAATTGTTACTCTAAATCAAGTCTACATCTAACTTCCAGCTTATGGGAAATAGAGAGGTGGAAGAAACAAGCCAAAAACACCATGGAGAAACAAAACTCTAGAAGGTAAGACATACAGAACAACTGGCCTCACCCCTTCAAAAAATTAATGTTCTCAACAACAACCAAAAAAAGGCAGGGGTGAGGGGGAGGAAAGGGTGGCAACTTTTCTATATTAAGAGATTAAAGGGAGAGAACAACATACAAAGACCCAACTGAATTATATTCTGGTTCTAAAGAACAGCTTTAAAAGATATTTTATGAGTAACTGGAAAGTTTTAAATAGTCATTAAACTATAGTGTGCCGTTTTCATTAAATATCCTTTTTATGTAGAATTTTCTTCTCTTAGGAGATACCTAAAAGTAGTAAGAGCAAAAACACCTTATCGTCACTGAGGGTTAAGTAATGCAGCATAATGTTCGAGAACAGATATGGCAAAAGATCATTTGCTAATTTTGGTGGAAGGATCCTATTAGTCATAGTCCCATTCTTTCAACTTTTCTGTATATTTGAAATTTTTCACTCTAAAAGTTTGGGAAGATAGAAATATAGTCAAATTTCCAGATAGTGTTATTTTTATCTTAAAACTCATTTTCAAGGCCCTCCCCAGTGGCACTATGAAGCTATCCACAGCCACTGCAATATGAGTTCAATCCCCAACCAGGGAGGAGATCCACATGGTGTGGCAGAATTCTCCTGACCCACCAACCACTCTCCTTAGCAATGTATTTCAGTACATGTGCATGTTCTGCTCCCCACTCTGTGTCTGGTGAATCCTCTCACCCCCTGTACCTCTGGCCTGTACCCCAGTTCTGTATGCATAAAAAAAAATAATGCTCATTTTCAAGAAAACATAAAAATTCATACACGTAAAATACTGTAAGAGAATTCTCTAAGTCAAAGTACTTAAATAAAACACTGGATTTCTGTGCACTAAGTACCAAAAACTACTAAAGAGCTTAGAGGATTCTGTGTGTACCTACCGGTTAAAACATGGAGAAGCAGGATCAGTGAAATGTTTGTAAGGGTTTGCTCTAGAAAGAGAACCCATGCAAATCCAGCAGAAATATTGCATACAGCCAGTACAGGTCATCTTGTTACATCCATCTAATTTCTGATGGGAAAGACAGAAAAATATGAAAGGCTGCAAAACAGAAATACATCTGCCAAAAAGCTTTAGTACAACATTCTCTCAGTCTTCTCCCTTCTCTCATGCAGGGTTAAGCTCTACAGGTCACAAAGTGACAACTATTAAGTGTCTACTATTTTGCATTACAAGTAAAATACAGAAAATACTTGGCAGGTATTCCTACAACTAGTTGCTCAGCAAAATTTCTTCTGATAAAATGGTAGATACAAACCAAACATGAATATTGTAAGTGGAACCACATGTAATGAAATAATTATTAAAATGTTTGGATTCAGTATGTGTGGCTTTAAACTCTCTATGTAAGTGAACATTCTAATCCTACCAGGGCTGTATCATGGCAGGAGTTGTTAAAACAGAATGCTGGTTCCTTAGTGGAGTAACTGGGGAATTATTACCAGGTTCAGTTCAAATAAAATGGATTGGAACAGTAGAATCCATACAAACATATACTTCTATTTTGAAACATGTTAAGACTGTCAAGCAGCAGATGTGTCTATTTTAGCTCACACACTTTTCAGACAGAGAAAATGTCTGTTTGCATAATTATTATAAATAGTGCTAAATTTCTGGATAAATAAATAGCTCTAAGAATTCAGGCTGGATCTTTTTGTTTGTTGTTTAATTGCTTATTTTAGTCACACAGATGAGCTGAGTTCACTGAAGTGCTAGTATGGCCTCCTCATAATCAACTCTATTTTGAGGTGGATATAATGCAATAACAAGTATCAATGTATGAAAGCAACTTGAAAAGTTTACATACATTTAAGGTCAATAATAGCAATTAATGAATTTGCATAGTCCAAATAAGATGGTTTAAAATATACCAAAATGTGTTTTGTTAACTAACATAAAATTAATAAGCATCCTGAGACCATTGTAACAAGCTTGTGAGTCTACTTGCCTCCAAGTCTGACCCAAACCTTACCTCTATGGGAGTCCCACAGCAGGGGCAGCTCTTTGAGTTCTTTTCCAGCCACTCCTTACTTTCCATCTCTTCCAGTGCCTTCTGAATCACCCTCTTACCATACCTCTGTTCCAAAAATCTTTTATTGGCTTCATCTGCTTGTAGGTACTCATTTCGTAAGTCTATTAATTTCTCTAGAAAGTGAAATGGAAAATTAATTTTTACACAAGTTTGCAATATACTAAAAGCCATTTAAAAATGCCACAACCTTTTGGACTATTCAATGATGTGATTCCTAGGGCTTTATCATAAGGAAATAATAAAGTTATACAATGCAAGCAAATTAAATATACAAGAAAATAATTTATGTGCAAGAGTTACTTAATGACATAATACTTGGTTATTAAAAACTTATAATTAGGATAACTACAATCCAAATAAAATACTCATAATAGGGCCCTCCCTGGTGGTGCAGTGGGTTAAAGCCGCTTCCACATGAGTTCGATTCCCGCCTGCCCTGGAGGTGACCACATGGTGTGGCAGACCTCTCCTGACCCGCCCGCTGCTCCCCTCAGCAGTGTACTTCGTCGATCTGCCTGTTCTGTTCCCCACTCTGTCTCTGGTGAAGCCTCCCACCACCCCTGAGCCTTTGGCCTGTACTCCAGTTCTGTATGCACAAATAAAAAAAAAAATCTAAAAAAAAAAAAAATACTCATAATAAGAAAAAGTGTACTTATGTTATAATTAGGTAAAAATTACACACAGGACCTCCCTGGTGGCACAGGGGTTAAAGTCTTAGTGCTATCAAACTACAGCCGGTCAACGCTGCGATGTCCAGCCAGGGATCTCACCCACATGGCACAGCAGAACTTTCTTGTCTTGCCCACTGCTCCCGTCAGCAGTGCATTTAAGGAGATCTGCCTGTTCTGTTCCCTACTCTGTCTCTGATGAATCCTTTCACCACCTGCACCTCTAGCCTACATCTCAGTTCTTCTGTGCATGAATGAATAAATACATTTTTTTAAAAAGAAAGGAAAGCTTTCTGAAGTGGTATGCTGAGGAAGATTCTGAAACCTCTTTTGGGTTCACTTGATGACTGACCAGATATGTGCCATGCAAACAAGAGTGGCAGATCAGATACTCTGCATTTGCCAACCAGATCAGTATTACTCCATGTTCATGGACCAAAAAAAATGCCTTGCCAGCCTCTCCCTGAAATGTTCCCCAATACCTGCATTGCTTCTATCCTTTGCTTAGTTTTACTCTTAACAAGTTTTCCAGGGAGGCTTCCCTAAGTGAAATCCCAAGCCACTTTCCCCCAGAATATTTCATATCCTAAACCTGCTTTATTTTTTCCCTTCAGTATTTATGACCACTGAATAGTCTTATTTTGTTTGCCTATCTCCTTCGCCCAGCTCCTCCCTTAGAATAAAAGTTCCATGAAGGCAATGCATCACTGCTATATTCCCACAGTCTAGGTCAGTAACTGATATAAAAATATCTGTTATCATTCATTTCACTTCCAAATTGAAGTGATTGGGCATTTTCTTCTTTTTGGGGGGAGGATGGAAGGATGGGAATAAGATATAGGGGAACTGAGTTCACAGTTACGACGTACCTGCAGTCACCTTACATGGAGAGACCCCATGGTAGGTCAATCTACACAAGGTACAGAAGGCAAAATTGCAGCTAGAACAGATGCCCATGGTGCAGCCAGGTTCCTGCATCACTGGCAGCTGGCAACACGGGCGGGGACAGTATACCACATCTGCCATGAGGTCCAAGGTAGACTGGAGAAGAAGGCGGTCATAACGGGCAAATAGGTCTGCTTCCACTAGCTCTTTGACCTGAAGGGAAATATAAAAAACAGAGGTCTGACAATCTTCCAACCAGTTCTGAGTCTGAGGAGATCTTCAAGTATGCTGGTGCAAACCGGACACTCATGAATTAACTCTACCTCAAAATCAAATCAAGTAGGCCAGTCTGCATTTTGACTAAGAAGGTGGTTATATGGATCCAGGAATTCATCAAAACTAAGCAAATGGTACACTTTAGATGTTTATGCTTTCATAAAATTGTTTTTTAATCCAAGCACATGGACCTATGTCAAAGCCTACAAAAGATTCAATGCCACGGCTATCCCCTTCAAATCCCAGCCATACTCAAGATAGTGATTACCCACAGTTGAGGTGATCCTAGCAGATACACAAAGTAAATCTCCAGAATTACTTTGTAATTACTTTTGAATCATTCATCCTTGCCCAAAACCACCTATTCTGAAGCCAGCAAAGGGAAGCATTTACTTAACTACCTGCTTATGAGCCAGCAAAGATAGTCCATGCCCTTTTTAATTGATAGAGTGAAATAACTTGTGGGGCTGGCTCCAGAGTCTAGACTGTGCTGATCAGCCCTATCAAGGAAGTTTCCGAGAGGGTGGCTCCCTCTCTAAAAGAGAATTTGGAGACAGTAGTCAGCCGAGTAGAGTTACCTGACCAGGGGTGGCCACTGAAGGGCACTTGGGTTCTGGGCAATTGAGGCATTGAACTTGGCCATCTCTGATCTGGATTTCAAAGTAGTCCTTCAGACAAGCTTTGCAGTACACATGCCTGCACTCCAAGAAGTACATGCATTCACTACCCAGCTTCTCACAGAAACAGATATTGCACGTAAACACTTTACTATTGAAGCATTTTATCTGCTGAGCTTGATCAAAGTCTAGGATTTCCTGGATTAGGCTTGACAATGATTCCACATCCTGCACGGCTCTCTCATCCATAATTTCTGGGTCTACGTCGGATCCAGCAGCTCCTCCAAAATCTAGCTCTGTGTTAGGTGAAGCCTGTGTGGTCCTTCTCTGCACTTTTGTCTGAGAACCCATCTTGAGCTCAAAAGGAGAGACGATATTCAAGTACGTCAGGGTTTCTTCCTTAAGAAACTGCATCCAGGCAAACAGGACCACGGTGCCACGGTGTTCTTCCCACAGGTTGTCTAAGTGCTTACAGAGAGCAGAAAGCTAGGAGAAAACACAGGAGGCTGCCTGTGAGTTTAGAAAGATGATGTTATAGTCAACTCCTGATTTCCCCTGAAATCTTTTCAACTTATAACTTAGGTCCTTATACTGCCTAATGTGATTTTCTCCACTGCTGTGCTGCAAAAAGCATCAATATTCTCTATCACAGTACTTCTTAAACTGTAAATAACATGAATCACAGCAGAATACAGTCAGAAGCTGAAAGAAATATGAAAATGAGAGAAAGGGCAAAAGGGCACAAGAACCAGGTTTACATGAACTGAAAAGAAGACTGTTCTTTTTTTTTATTATTATTATCCTTGTTTTAGCATTATCTATCTCATGTAAGAGATCTAGTTCGAAAATTAAATAATTATATTCCTTCGGCATTCTAACCCTATAGGTACCCTTTAATAATGGTTAAGAAAAAGAGCAGTTTAAAAATACCATCAACATTAAAAAAAAAAACCAACTATTTCAGTCCTATCAAAAAATCAGTTCATATGAAAGAATCACTAACACAGTCCTTGTTATTCAAATTTCCAAGCAGTTTTTAATTAAGTAGCCTGGGCTTGCACCAAATCCCAGTTTAATGGAGGGAAGAATACTATTATTGAACGAAGACATGACAACAATCGCTCAACATGGCTTGGCTACCATAGGAAATTTCACACTCCCAAAGCTAATCAACCAGGTTTAAACTACTTTGACTTTTCTTCCTTATAAGTGATCTGTTCAAGAATGGTGGTTACCATAGAAAAAGGAAAGGGAGGAAAAGGCTAGTGGGGACCAACTGATTGGAGATGGATGATGACTGGACATTTGGTGGTATGTGTAGTGTGATATAGACAGTTGCTGAGGTGAGAAACGCTACTGTGGTAAACTAATGTTATTTTAATAAATCATACTTCTACATTCTTAAGGAGGGGTCTGTTCAATTTGAAAGACAAATAGACAGGGATTTTCCATTAGAAATGTAAAATTTATGTGAGTAGAACGTGTGAATAAGCAGCTTTTTTTTAAAAAAAAAAGATAAACCTCAAGGGGAAAAAAGGAGCCTTCCCGATACAAACAAATTTTATAAATTTAAATAACATGAAAAGCGATCATTTTTCTATTCCTTGCTGTGTGCAGTGCTATTCACTAAACCCCACATAGACATGAACTGAAACACTTACTGAGCAGTTCAAGATTGGACAATGAAGGCTTTCCCCATATTCATGCTTACATCATCCATGTTTTTCAGAAACCTGCTGCAATTTGTAAAATGAAGTAAACACTAAAGGGGAAAGTTGCAATGCTGTTTTAGCCACCAAGGCCAATGAAGAAACCATTGTCCTCCTTCCTCTTATCTTCTCCAGCCTCTTCTCAAAAGAGGTGGCTGTGATACACATAAATCTGAGGGAGAAAGATATGCAGAGAGGAAAAGAACAAAAGACTCTGCATGTACTGGGGAGAAGAAAATGCTACAAAATTAAACCTACATCCCTTCTTTCTACCATTTCAAATTCAGTGAAAGACAGGCCAGGTTTCAGCTTCACTATCAACAAATGAAATGTATAATGCCGAGGAATCAAGGCTGAGCAATGAATAAGAATAGAAATAGAAAGGAATAAAACACCAATTAAAATGTCAATTACATGCACAAAAGTTTATTTGATATGAGAAGCACACTATAAATTTTGCAGTATAATGTGAAATAATGAACAACTCTCCTCTGCTCACACCTCAAAAGCCAGGACCACAATCCCAGTTAACCTGTCCTTATTTTGTGCATGTATGTGTGTGTTCATGTAAAATTGTAAAGAATTAAGAGTTCCCTAGAGAAACAAAACTATAAGTATAAGTATCTAAATAATTCAGTCAACTATCAATGACCTAAATGTCAAAAAGTTGTGCTATTTTTGAGCAAAGAATCCATTATCTTGCATGTACTACCTGTTGCAGATATTAAAATCTAAGGAAATATTCCTTTAATTCTACCTCAACTGTTCCTTATTAAAGTTTAATTATTTTTTTTAAAGATTTATTTATTTATTCATACAGAAACTGGGCTACAGGCAAGAGATGCGGAGGGTGAGAGGATTCACCAGAGACAGAGTGGGGAGCAGAAAAAGGCAGATCGATGAAGTACACTGCTGAGGGGAGCAGCAGGCGGGTCAAGAGAGGTCTGCCACGCCATGTAGTCACCTCCGGGCAGGCAGGAATCGAACTCATGCGGAAGTGGCTTTAAGTTCTTAGTGCTGTGTTTTAACCCGCTGCGCCACCAGGGAGGGCCCAAAGTTTAATTACTTTTAAGCTCAATTTTTTTTTAATTTATTTATTTATTCATACAGAACTGGGGTACAGGCCAGAGATGCGGAGGGTGAGAGGATTCACCAGAGACAGAGTGGGGTACAGAACAGGCAGATCGACGAAGTACACTGCCGAAGGGAGCAGTGGACGGGTCAGGAGAGGTCTGCCTCGACATGTGGATCTCCTCCGGGGCAGGCGGGAATCGAACTCACGCGGAAGTGGCTTAAGCTTCTTAGTGCTGTGCTTTAACCGGCTGCGCCACCAGGGAGGGCCTTAAGCTCAATTTTATGACAACACTCATCTAAAAGATTAGACCCGTAAATGAGGGAAGGTGAAAATTACGTGATCAGAAAGGGAAAATTGACAAGCTATTCCATGAGGTCAAGTAACTGACAGCTTTTGTCTTAATATACATCAGCCTATCAATCTTCATCACAGCATGGAGAAAAGCAGATGCTATTGATCCATTATCTACCACAGGGTACTTTATATTAGCTCCGAGTCATATTTATGTCTCAATCAAGAAGCTGAGGTTTTTATTAGAAAAGGATATAAAACACAAAGGGAATGAAAGCTGATCATATTTGGTATCGAGTCTTAATGAGATAAAAATCATACACATTTCTGTGTGCATTTACATCTACACAAGATTAGCCGAGAATTATTTGTTATTAACATGCAGATGTCTAAAAATGACATTACTTATGTTTACTGAAGAATTTTATTATAACTACATTAGCTAAATTTTTGTCCTCCTAAGTGAATCAAATCTTTCATTTAAAGAATGGATAAAAAACTAAGGGAAAAAAGGAAAATGAACACTACAGAAAATAATGAGGGCCTTATAGTCTCCATTACAATACAGATTAAATAGAAAAACAGCAAGACAAGAACAGAAACAACATACTTGACTAAAAATTATTCCTGTTACAATCCATAGTGATTAACTGTTTTAATTATTGCCATTCTTTCTAAAGTACCAGACATTTTCAATTCATTAACATTAGGAATCATGAAGGTAAGAGGAAAAATTACAAAATCAAAGCCATTTGCTCTTCATGCACTGAATTCAAGATCATCAAGGTAGTCTTCAATTAAAGATGATTTTTTTTTTAAGTTTCTAAAAATGGATAGGAGAAATTAAGTTTCGGGTCTAACCTGAGTTGGTGACAGCCATTTGCCACTAAGTGTGAATGAAGGTGGGGAGGAGGATGGATAGTCTGGTGGCAGTTCAAAGTTCAGCACAAGTGGAGGCAGAAAGCAAATGGTGTATTCAAAGCCACTATTCTGGAGACACTCATTTGAATTGCCTGAACCAAAAACAAAGATTAGAAAGAATCAATTGGTCAACACTTGAGTGTCTATACTGTTGAGTAATGCTCAACGAAGATGTAATGTTTTAGTTGAGGGCATGAAAACCCTCCCCAAAGCACTTTCTCTTTCCTAATTTTAACTTTATAGTGGCCATCTTAAAAAATATCTTGTAAGTCCTTGAAAAATCTACAAAGCACCATGAAATTTATAATGAAGATAAACAACTTATACTTGTATGCACCTTTGAGTACAATCCCTAACACAACAGCAAGTAATACACAATGTTTTCAATTCTTGTTTTATAGTAGATGATTAAAGACACAATCTAGAGAAAAGGATGTTTATTTCTATCAAAGAGCCATGACCTACTTAGACCAGTATGTGCCAACTACCCATGAATTGTAGCTGGGAGAACTTGTGCCAACACAATGATCTTAGGCTTGAGGCCAAGAAACAGCAGAAAACACTCTCACAATCAAAATTTCATTTTTAAATGATCACACATATTTTATTAATACCTTTTTAGTAGAAAAATTCTGAGAAAGTTTGCATCAAAGTCGTCTATGACTTATCAATAGAAGCAGTTTCACAGAGTAACAACATGTGTCATGGTGTTATGGTAGCTGAAATGATTTTGGAAACCAAACAGAATTAATAACCACCATGGCACTTTAAAGCTTTTCAAGTGTTTTCACATACATTGTTTCATTCTTTTCTTTCATCATCCCTATTTGAGAGCCAATGACTCATGGTCGATAAACTACTAGTCAGAAGAAAATTAGGATGTGTGAAATGTGTCGATAATTTTCAATTCAGAGGTCAAAAAGAATCAAATTGAAAACTTTTCCCCTCCCATTCCAATTTTCATTTAAAACAGAAACATTCATTTGATCTACACTAATGCCTGTAAACACAATGCTAAATAATTTACAGTAGAAATTGAGAATAATTTTTATTTTTAAAAATCTGTTTAAGGGAATATTAACTAACCGTTCACAAATATCTTGAAATTTTGTGGTAAGTCCAAGTAGATCCTGGTTTCTCCACCTTGAACAGACTCTGCTTTTCTAAATTCATCTCCATCATAAATACTCGCCAGAGCCAACAATTCATCCTCCTGAGCTTCTCGGTCTTCAGACGACATTTAATTTTCTGAGGCGCTGAAAACAACCATTCAAGTCAGTTCAGACTAGATTAGGCATAGAGTTTGGGAAAACATAGTGACACAAAAAAACAAAAACACATCAAGAGATTAATCAGTATTTTCACTTTTCTGCTAAATAAAAAAAAAAGTGTATCTAATTTTATAGCAGTTTTGCAAAAGTAACTTTTAAAGAGGATGTTTATAGTACTTCTGATTGCTGACTTTATCAGCATATCAGGTATACCTTTATCAGGTATAACTAAGTTAGGTAGAAAAAGGATGACAAAGAACAGATTACGAATTACTTTGACTTATGCACTAAACATAGCAAAATGCTTTATCCACAAAGACTCAATTTATATTTGATATACTTCTTAAAAATAAATGAATTTTTTAAATCCACAGAAATTTCCAGGGCAAGTTTTCTAACCTCAGTACTGATATTTCAGAACAAATAATTCTTTGCTGTGGGAATGTGTTCTCTGAATTACAAGATGTGTAACAACATCCCTGGCTTGATCCTACTACATGTCATTAAGTATCACTTTCCCCAGATTTTTGCCAATCAAAAGCATCTCCAGTCTAGCCAAATGTCCTGGGATCAGGGGTGGGAGGGCAAAATTGCTTCCAGTTGAGAACACCCTGGTCTAGATAAAGTTACAGGAACAGATATCACACACTTGTTAGATTAACTGAGGAAGCAGTAAAATAGCATTTAATTTTTGTGACACCAACTTTTGCCAAATCAATTTTAAGATATACCATTATAAAAGTCTCAGCACTATCAAGCTATAGCCAGTCACTGCAACATGAGTTCCATGCCCAGCCAGGGAGCTGACCCACATGGCACAGCAGACCTCTCCTGTTTCACCCACTGCTCCCCTTAGCAATGTATTTCAGTCGATTTGCCTGTTCTGCTCCCCACTGTTTCTGGTGAAACTTCTTCCCCTCCTGCATTTCTGTTCTTGCATACATACATAAATAAAAAGAAATTAAAAAAAAAAAAAAGATTTAATGGGCTCTCCCTAGTGGTGCAACAGGTTAAAGCACAGCACTATGACTATTGAAGCCAATACAGCAAGAGTTTGATTCCTAGCCAGGGAGGTGAACAACATGGTGTGGCAGACCTCTCCTGACCTGCCCGCTGCTCCCCTCAGCACTGTATTTCAGTAGATCTGTCTGTTCCTGCTCTCCACTCTGTCTCTGGTGAAAGCTCTCATCCCCCTGCACCTCTGGCTTGTACCCCAGTTCAGTATGTATAAATAAATAAATCTTTAAAAATTTTTTGCCATTATTTTAGGCAATACTAAGAATGAAAATATGCTAAAGTTAACATATAAAGCAATGCTTTTCCGAGTGACTAATAGATGCATCACAATTTCAAATAACTGAAATATGAAAAAAATTGAAATCTATGAGAATTTAGTAAAGCAAAAAAATTACTCCATCAATGAAAATCTTGTACTGTAACTGCACTTGCAAATATGCCCCTCTCAACTAAAATATTTAAATAATATATAACTGAAAAGTTAAGCCACAGTTTTTCACATCATAAAAGGAAACTACAAATTTAGACAAATTTACTTAAAAGAATTCCATTTTCAAAAAATAATTTTCTAGATAACAGTTCTACTTAAACTGCATTCCTAAGACACAATGACTTGAAGTGAATTAATACCTGTTAATAACAACCAGAAGAAAGTGGTATTAACAATGCAGTCTGTCTTTCAGTTGAGAGTGTAGAACTCATGCAAATCCTATTTATTCTCTAGACGGTGGAGATGAGATTGCAGGAGTTCGATAAGAGGCCAAGATGTGGAACTCATTCTAGATATACTATAGAAATCCTGCCATCTGCAGAAAAAAAAAAAAAAAAAAACACAAACGATAGTGTTAGGGCCCTCTTCAAATTTATTAAATTCTGAATTGCCACTATTGCAATGGAAATAAAAAACCTTCTGAACACATAGTAAATCCTAATCTGCAGTTGTATATTACTCTCCTAGGACAGTCAAATTGAGCCATGCAGGTAAAGGAACATTTAGTGGCCCCAGCAATGAGGCAGACCTTATCTGACTGCCTTCAGCCCTGGGAGGAGCAGAGAAGAACCACTACTTCACTGGAAAGGACAACATACCACACCCTAAAATAAACACTTTCTGGGGTATGTTTTTATTTTTCCTTTCCTTTTCTACTCTTTCCTTTCCTATACTCTGCATGTTTTCCCTCTTGCCTGATAATGAATTCATTCTGTCAGTGATGTTCAATGTCCAGGGGCATTTAAGGACAACAGGGCATTTAAAACATAACAAGAAAAGACCATGCACACACACCAACTTTTCAGACTTATTCTAAGTGCTTTAGATCCGGGATTCTTAACTGGATAAGGGGGGGAATAGAAAGGTCCATAAATGGGCATGGAAAATCCTATGAACACCCTAAAACTACAGGCAAAAATGTGATATGAAGCTAGCATTTTAAAATCAGTTTAGCTAACTCCCAAATTAGCTAAAATTGAAATTTTCAATTGATTTAGATAAGTGAGCATCTGCTATCTACTAAATATAATCTTTTTCCTTTACTTTAATCTTGAACAATTTTACTAGAAGTACAAGGTGATAATGTAATTACATTTTGGTGTTCCTTCATCCTGTTTAAACATTTAGAAATGGGACCCTGGTCCCTGCTGATGGTCGATGATTCCATCCACTCAACCCTCAAAACCTACCTCCGAAGTTTCTATCCCATGCAGTATTTTCCAAATTGATATGTCTGTCTTTAAAAACCCAGCAAAATTTACTGTAACTTGCTAATGACATGTTACATCCCACTACAGTGGTTTATGAACTTGCACTTCCCCTCCTACCAGACCACATTAATTTTTTAGTGGTTTTCTGACCCCAGAGCCAGAGCTGACTTCAGAACCTGGCTGACTCCCGGGAGCGAGTCCGCACGGTGGGGAAGGACTCTGGATTGTAGCGTCGTGCTTTAGACACTGGAAAAGTTAGAACTGAATTGGAGTGAGATGCAGTGTGCACAGTGGGGACCAGAAGCAAAAGGTTCAGTGATCACAAGAAGCAGGAGGCTGGGCCGGTGGTCACAGTAACTGCAAGAGCAGCAACAGCTCTCACCGTGTCAGGCTCTGTGCTGAACCTTTTAAACGCATTAACTCCTGTTGCATTCCCACAATCCCATGAAACAAGCCCTCTTAGTATTTCCATTACACAGACAAGAAAAATGGCAGTTTAAGTCCTGTTCTGGGCCACGGTCACACCGCTAACACATAACTAAATCTGAATTCAAACCACCCTATTTAAATCTGAATTCAAACCACCCTGTTTCTACATCTGTAACACAGACAAGCTAACAAACCCCGGCGCCATGATACAAGAGATAATTCAAGTTTAATATTAGTTCTGGCAAGCCGGAAACCTCTTCAGCAGCAGGGAAGACCTTCCCCCGCCGAGTATCCCTTCGGCTAGGGGAAATCCTACTCATTCCTCCTTCCCCACCATGCGGACTCGAGCCCGGGAGTCAGCCGGGTTCTGAAGTCAGCCCTGGCTCTGGGGTCAGAAAACCACTGCCCAGCACACGGCGCGCTGAGTCGTCGTGCGACTCACCTACAGCCGGGCGCAGGCTAGGCCTGTGCGGGCGAGGGAGGTGAGGCCCGTACAGGGCGTCCCGAAGGAGCAGGCCCCAAACCTTCCCCTTCCACCTCCCAGGGTGCTCACCCGGGCCGGGCTAGGGGCGCCCCGTCCCGGGTTCGGGGGGCTGAGGCCCACTGAGCAATCCCGGCCCGGCCGCCCTTCTCTGCCTCGCGCACCCGGAGCGCAGTTCCCACCGTACCTTCCGGCCGTCCCATCTGACCCGGCCCCAAAGTTCCGCCCTCAGCCTTTGCTCCGGGTCCCCTCACCGTCATTCGCCGGCCCAGCCAGGAGACGCCCGGCTCAACCTGCGTACCGCCTCTTCAGTCCTCGCAGCTGTCGGCTAAGCCCAGCAGATCCGCCTGGAGCAGCCCGGGTTGGGGTTGAAGTGGGCTCTGCGCAGCCGCCGTGACCGCCCCGGTTCCTCGGCCGCCCCCTGCAGGCCAAAGGTGGAGCTGCAGGTGTGCCCACCGTCACCCCCAACACTGCTGTAGAAATTTAGGCACGACTCTGGAAAAGTTGATAGGAGTGCAGATTCCGTGGGCTCGTGCCCAAGGGACTCCTTTTCGCTATTCTGGAATGCGAACCGGGAATTAGAATTGTAATCAATTTTTTAGAGGAGATGGTGAGGGAAGGGTCTACCTGGGGCAGACAGTCCGCTATCAATACCAGACTTCCTCTTCCAAATAGATCAGATCCTCCTCTCCTTCCATCCCAGTAACCTTCAGAGAAATACTGCCCACCTTCCTGGCACCTCCACTGTGAATGCATTCTCTTATGGTATAACAGTATAAACAACCATATATATTATGCAGTGAGGAAGCTTCCAGCACTTATTAAGTACAGTTTCCTCTTTATCTTCCATACTCACCTTGACCTTATTTATGGTTAAATCTATCTGCATTTTACAATGAGTAAATTGAAACTTAGAGAAAATCAAGAATTCACCAAAGAGCTTATTAAGAGGCTAAGTGAGAATTAAAATTACATGCCCCCTACTTCACACCATATGCAAAAATTAACTCAAAATGGATCAAAAGCCTAAATGTAAGAGCTACATATAAAAAACTCTTAGGGAAAATATGTAGTAGTTAATTTTTGTAAAGGTAAGTAAGGACTCTTTTATTATATTTTTTTTAATTTTTTAAAAGATTTTTATTTATTTTTGCATACAGAACTGAGGTACAGGCCAAAGGTTCAGGGGCAGTGAGAGGATTCACCAGAGACAGATTGGGGAGCAAAACAGAATAACTGACAAGGTACACTACTGAGTGGAGCAGTGGGTGGGTCAGGAGAGGTCCGCCACACCATGTGGATCACTTCTGGGAGGGGGATTGAACACATGCTAAAGTGGTTTTAGCTACTTAGTGCTGTGCTTTAACCAGCTGTGCCACCAGGGAGAGCCCAAGAAAGGACTCTTTTAGGTTTGACAAGCAACAAAAGTGTATCCCTCAAAATTAAAAATATGCTTCAGGCCCTCCCTGGTGGTGCAGCGGGTTAAAGCACTGCACTAAGAAGCTTAAGCCACTTCCGCATGAGTTCGATCCCTGCCTGCCCTGGAGGAGTCCACATGGCGTGGCAGACCTCTCCTGACCCGCCCGCTGCTCCCCTCAGCAGTGTACTTCATTGATCTGCCTGTTCTGCTCCTCACTCTGTCTCTGGTGAATCCTCTCACCCTCTGCATCTCTGGCCTGTACCCCAGTTCTGTATGAATAAATAAATAAATCTTTAAAAAAATATGCTTCAAAGGGCACTATCAAAAAAGTGAAAGATAACCTTCAGTATAGAAGAAAATATTCACAAGTCATATGTCTGATAAAGATTTAACAATCGGGCTCTCCCTGTTGGCCCAATCAGTTAAAGCACGGCACTATGAAGCTCTCAGAAGCCACTGCAGCAAGAGTTCAATCGCAGGCCATGTGCTGACCCACATGGTGTGGCAAACCTTTCCTAACCTACCCGCTGCTCCCCTCAGCAATGTATTTCAGCAAATCTACCTGTTCTGTTACCCACGCTGTATCTGGTGAATCCTCTCACCCACCACACCTCTGGCCTGTATCCCAGTTCTGTAAGCATAAATAGATTGTGAAAAAATAAAAAAGATTTGGGCCCTCCATGGTGGCGCAGCAGGTTAGGACAGCAGTACTGCAAGCTGGCCGCAGCCACTTCAGTGCCAGCCCCGGAGGTGACCCACATGGCGCAGCAGACCTCTCCTGACCCACCCCTCAACAGTGTACTTCATTGCTTTGACTGTTCTGCTCCCCACTCTGTCTCTGGTGAAGTCTCTCACTGCCCCTGCACCTCCAGCCTGTATCCCAATCCTGTATGAGTAAATAAATCTTTAAAAAAAAAAAAAAGATTTAACAACCATAATAACTAAAGACCTCCTGCAACTCAACAACAAGAAGACAAATAAACCAATTTTTAAATGGGCAAAGGATCTAATTAGACGTTTCTCCAAAGAAGGTATGAAAATGGTCATGAGCATATGAAAAGATGCTCAACATCATTAATGTTCAGGGAAATTAAAATCAAAACCACTACTTCACACTCTTGAGGATGGTTTTTTTTTTTAAAAGGCAGATAACAACAAGTGTTGGTTAGGATGTGAAGTCACTGAAACCTGTATACACTGCTGGTAGGGTTGTAAACTAGTGTAGCTAGTTTGGAAAACAGTTTGACAAATCCTCAGGAATTTCAACAGATTTACAATACCCAGTAGTTCTGCTTCTTGGTATGGCCTCCAAAGTATTGAAAACAGGTTTATACAAAAACTTGTATACAGATGTACACCTGGAAATATTTATTTATATATAGTACACACAAACGCACATAATAGTAGTAGTATTCCCAATAGCCTAAAGGTAGGAACTACTCAAATGTTCATCAATGGATAGGTGAATGGATAAATAAAATGTGGAATATCCACACAATGAAATATTACTCAGCTATAGAAAGGAATGAAGTACTGACTGATGCACATCTATACGAATGAACCTTAAAAATATCACGCTAAATGAAGTAAGTCAGAAACAAAAAACCACACACTGCATTATTCCATTTATATGAAGTGTCTGGAATGCACAAATTCATACGAAGTGAAAGATTAGTCATTGTCAGAAGCTGAGGTAGGAGGGGAAGGGAAGCAACTGTTACTGGAAACGAGATTCCCCTCAGAAGATGAAAATGTAGAATTAGTCAGTGGTGATGGTCATACAACTTTGTAAATATAATGGAAACTACTGGGCTTTACAACTTTGAAAGGTTAATTGTATCATATGAATTATATACCAATAAAAAAAGGTAGATATAAAATACTGGTATCAGCACTTCAGTGGGATGTTGAAGTGTTGGTTTCTGCTCTTCATAACCAACAAATTAAGTGACCTAATGAACTCTTGTGTCTTCCTCTTCATGTATTTCTTTCCCGCCGTCCCCCGCCCAAAGATAAAAAAAAAGTTAGGCCTCTAATCCAGGGGTACAGAATTCTAGGGGTTTTCACTACTCCTGCCTTCCAACTAGGACTGGTAGCCTGGGCTAGGTGTCATGTAGAGTCTTGGTTCTAGAAGGTCTCAGCCTCACATGGGCCCTGCTGCCTAACTCTGCTATAGCAATCCTGAAATTCATAATAATTTACAAATGAGAGGATCTGCATTTTCATTTTGTGCTGCAAATGTTGTTTGGTCCTGCACTCATAAGAGGTAAAAAGCAAACAACAAAAACAGGGTAAATCAGGGCTCTGTAGGGTCTTCTCTGGCTTCCACAGAGAGAAACATTTTGAAGTGCAAATAAGCACTCCCAAATTTCCTGTGCTATAAATTTTGATTGTCACAGAACAGAAACCTACCTACCCCTATGACAGATACCAAAGCCAGAAACATAATCCTTGAAAAGTTAAAGGAAAGAGAAAGATTCTCTGAAGTTCACTCATTTATAGAGTTCACCTTTAGCCAAAGGAACTAAAATCATGAGAAAAATGCACAGCAACCCTACCTCACTACACTCAGATGTGAGGCCAGGAATCCTGCCAGAGACCTCCAAAGTGCAAAAAAAAGTGAGGGAACCTAAGAAGCTTAAGAAACTCTCACAAAGTTGGAGCAGGAGATGAATTGTGACATCATGACATGACCTCATGCCAGTAGTTCAAGGTTGGAAGAGTTAGAAGAATGAGCTTTAAATAGGGGGTAAGTATTTATGTTTTCAGTGGACTTAATAGAGTCCTGTTTTGAGGTCACATTTGGATAAAGAGAGTTTTCTAGTAAAAATTTTAGATTTCATAAAAATAAAAGACTTTGATGGTTTGGTTTTATGTGTCTGGCTAGTCTTTCCAACTGAGTTCCCTCCATGTTCCCCAGGCTCTGTTGCATCAGGCATGTTACACACATTAACTCATTAGACACCCAACAATCTTGTTTCCCAGACAGGGAAATTGAGGCTGTTTAAGAGGTAAAGTGATTTGACCTGTGTCATACAGTGGTGACATACAGAATTATAATTAATCCTCTTGGTCCAAACTTCTCCTTAAACAAGAAGGGAGTTAAGGTTTGTTTTGATAGAAAAACAGAGAGAACAAAGTAGTTCTGGCCTTAAGAGTTAAAAGAGAAATCCCTAGGAAAGTTAGGGGTAGAATTTATGGTGCAATGATAGGTGAGAATGAGAATGCAGGGTTAGAGAGACCTAATTCTGTCACTCGCCCCAGGTACACTGGATGATGTGTAGGGTAGGAACAGCTAGGGTGTGAGTCCTAGGCCAGAGGTCAGAGAAGTAGGAGCCAGTCACAAAATATAGCCGGTTACTGTGGGGATGAGCCGCCTTCCATCAGTACCTGCACTTGTTTCCACTCACTGCTGCGTCCAGTGATGGTCCAGAAAGTTTGTGAGCTCATCCTACCTGCCCAGAGGAACCAGCTTCCTTTCTAATGGCCACCACTCACAAGCCTTCCTGAAGCAGGCCTTGATAAAGAGGGTCATCAATATGGAGGCAAAAGCCCTGTCCCAACTCTGGGACAGGACCCCATGGTGGAAAGTGGCCCCCCAGTACAGAAGTGTCACTGATTCCTGCTGGTCTCTTGTTATTGTGTATTTACTCACCATATATATCTTAACAATTGTACTAGTATCCCATGGGAATCTGAAATTTTCATATGAAAACAGGGCTTCATCCTAAAAGAACTGGGAGCTACTACAGCAAAAGTACAATTATAACTAACATCTGGAGTGCTACCCACATCCCAGGCTGCTCTGAACGCATGTGTAGTGACTAAGTTAAACCCTACAACTTACATGTTGACCACAGAGGCTCCAAACTAGTGACCATCCTCATCGCCATCATCCCTATTGCAGGGCTCAGGAAACTGATCACAGATGTGCTACTCTCACACAGATGTCAAACTACAG